CCCAAAATTTGAAAGAAAAAAAACTTATATATGTACAAAAATAATGGTAAGTATGATGAAGGGATGGAATATGATTGTAAGATGAAAATTATAAAAGATTTTATAAAAGGAATTGATAAGAAGTTGGTTGAAAAAAGAAAGAAGATTTAAAAAAAAAGGGGGAGAGAATATGATCAGGCAGGAGACTAGAATATAGCCATACACTAGAGATTTAGGGTATATTTTGGTCTGTTAGAAGAAAGTGTATCCCAAAATTTTAAGGAGAGAACAACTTATTTATATATATACCAAAAATAAGGTTAACTACTATGAAGGGATAGAATATGACTGTAAAAATGAAAAATAAAAAAGATTTTTTTAAAAAGAAATTTAAAAGATGTTGGTTGAAAAAGGGAAAAAGAAAAATTCAAAAAAAAAAGGAAAAAGAAAGTTAAAAAAAAATTAACTTGAAAGACTAAAGAATCATGGGAAAAAAGGTATGAATTCTATGTGCAGTATTCCCCTAGTGCTGAAGTTCTGCCCTTCTCATTGATCAGTAAACTTGGTCTTGGCTGGCTATTCTTGCTGATCTTATGGGGGAGGGGCCTGTCGCAGTGGTTCTCAGATGTCTTTGCCGGAGGTGGAATTGCCCCGCCCTTGCTGGGTCCAGGCTAAGTAATCTGCTTGGTTTTGCTCTCCGTATCTCTTGTTCCATGCCAGCTTTCCGTACAGCTTTGGAGGACCAGAGTGAAAATGGTGGCCTCCCAATTTGCACTCCTGAGGAGCCGAGAACTCGGGGCCTCACTCCTCAGTGAACCACCAGAGAAAAACAGTCAATCACTCCCGTCTTCCTGGTCTCCGGCCGCACTCCGTGCTCACCTGGCTGTGACCGAGCATTTCTATCTCTGGCTCATGACCCCATATGGAGTCTTCAAACCCAGCAGATCCCTGCGGTGCACTCCTGTGCTGCTCCTTCCAGGGGAGGAAGGGGAGTCTCCCCGGATCTGCCGCTTGTTGGGCCCCTGGTTGAAGAGCAGTGGCCCGACTGTGCTGCAGATCACGGTTTATGGCAACCCTGAGCTGAGCGCCCACACCTCCGCTCCGTCTCTGCAGCCAGCTTCCCTGCTCCAATACCTGGCAGCTCTGCCGCACTCAGGCACCCCTGGCCATGGTAAAATGGCAAATGAAATAAGGAGGTAGAGTAGATGTAAATGAATCCTTGATGGATGGCCAAGCCTATGGTAGAGTTATTGTCTAATCAAGAAGATTATGCACTGGATAAAGAAAATGTTAAATTTGATATTTGTAAAATTAATTTCCTTTTTTTTATCATTTTTGTCCATCTGAAAGAGAAAAATGGAGAGACTTATTAACAGAGGAGAAAAATAGGAAGGAAATAGAATCATGAAAGGAAGAATTCTTCTGAAAAATTTTAAGACATTTAGCCAATTTTATAAAAGACCTATTTCTAGTTGTATTTTATATTATATGTGAACATTACACAGTACTAATTTTTCTTTTTCTCTAGCTGTTTTGAAATGTTTTCTCTTTCTGTAATGATTTTCTCTTCCTAGCTTGGCATAGAATTGTAGTTTTAAAAATTTTATGCTACTTTTGATCCCCAAAGATTTATCATAATGTAATAGGACAATGATCAATGTAAGATACACACATACACACAATATACGTACACCTCTGTGCATGTGTGTTTACATATATATAAGATTAGGCACTCTGATCATTGTGTGTGTTTGTGTGTTTGTGTTTGTATGTTTTGCTCACATATGCACAAACATTTTGAAAATCATTATATGATTTCATTTTATGCTAAGGTTTCTTCAGAGAGCTTTTATTTGATACTAATTCTTTTTCCAATTACCACATTATGCTTAAATCTTGGAAAGGCTTCCTCTCTTGATATATTTTAATAAAAGAACCCTTAGAGCCACATAACCTCCATCTTTTCATCATAGGCTACAGATTATCTTGACTTCTATTGCCTGAAGACATATATGATAGAAACATTAAAAATACCATGTCAGGTTCCAATAGTGGGAAATAGCTAGAAGTTATAATAGATCAAATGGAAGATAGACTTTCACTTTTTAAATAAATAATTAAGTTCAAAATTCTCTTGATATGTTAGTGTTGGAGGTTAGAGTGTATGATTTACAGTGAGGCATAATTAAAATAATGCTGAATTAGGTATTATACAATCTGGATACTCGTCTGAAATCACAGTTTATTTGCCCAGTGACCTTGGGCAAGAGAGCCTCAGCTTGACTCATCACCAGTTGAAATGTGTAGTTATTATCTTTACTGCCCAACTTTTTTTAGTGTTGTCAGAATGAGATGATATATGTGAAAATATTATGTAAACAATGAAGATCCATATTAAGGTGACTATTGTAAATAATAGTTGATATGTGCCATGCACTGTATTAAGCATTCACATAATTCTTACGTAGTTTTATGAGACAAGCAACATTTTAATATTCCAATTTTACAGATCAGGAAGGTGAGGTTCAGAGTGTATAAGACACTTGATTGAGCTCACACTATCTGTGAATAGGAAAGGCAAGATTTGGATACTGGTTTGTTTGACACTAGACTTGATGCTCATAATTGCACAATTTTTATCTCTTATTTGAATAATAATTATTACATAGAGTAATGCATGGAAATGAAATTCTCTTTATTATCACATCTGATTTCTAAATGTGAAAACGAAATAATATTTATTTTTCTTAAAAGCAGAATGTAATGGAGTTGTAATTATTGAAATGTATTCTTCCTTTAGAATTTAATTGTCTTGGATCCACTCACAGTGACTGAGGAAGAAATTAGACCATCACTAGAGAAACGTCTTGAAGCCATTATCAGTGGGGCTGCACTATTGGCTGACTCTTCATGCACTAGAGATTTCCATCGGGAACGGATTATTGCAGAATGCAATGCCATTCGCCAGGCTCTCCAGGACCTGCTTTCAGAGTACATGAACAATGTAGGTAACTTGTTTTCCGCCAACCTCATGCACTGGGTATATGCTGATGTTCTTTCTGTGTACAAATGTGATAAATTACAAATGAGTACATGATTTTACATATTTGGCTTTCTGAGTAGGTTCTACTCACAGAATACAGCATTGATATAGGAATTTCTAGGGATGGGATCCAACAATATATAATTGTTTTTTTTGAGGCAGTATCTAAATATTAGTTGAAGAAGGGAGTCAAGATTGGAGAAAAGAAACTGGAGTTGGACATCAATTTAAAGGATAAAAGGAAGATGAAGAAAAGGGCAGACTGTTCGGGATTACGTTGGTGAATAAAAAAATTTAGACAGTATTAGATAAAGTCAGTGTTGAAGGGATCAGGGGTTATTTTTGAAGGTGTAAGGAACTTATGTAGTTTGTAACATTAGCTCCTAACCTTTTCACACGTGACATAATATCATAATTTTTTTTGCAGTTTTAACTATCTCTTAGGAGTATTAGAAATGCTGTCTAAATTTAGACACATGCAAAAATATTTGTTTCAAGGTGCTTTTGGTTTCATTTCATATGTCTTCATATATGATATATTCATTTCACATGTACATGTTTATATCCATCTATGGAGTATCTATGCTAGTTCTTACATTCAAATCTTATTGCTGTTTTTAAAATGAAGAAAGAAGATATTGCCTTGAAGACATTGTCAAGCATTTATTGATCATAAAGCCTCTTAAATAATAGAGCTAAACAAAATAAAGGATTTATATATATATTTAATATATAATAATAATATATTTATAAAATATTTTGCTCATCTGCTTTACAAATGGAATAATTAAAGAATTATGAAGATACATTTTGAAATTTATTAGTTACAAAGCATATGACTTTTTGGGTGTGAGGTTAAAGATTTAAGATTGTTCAGTATAAGTAATTTATGTGAATAATTGAAATGTGCTAAAATTAGTTAATGAGTTTTAAGGCTCCTTCTGCACATATGATGTATCTCCATACTCTTAATATTTGATGACTTTGGCTCCTGACCAAAAATCTCTTGCCTGTCAAGAAATCAGAGTTGTAAAGCAGATTTTGTTAATAAGAAGAACATGTTATAACATCATGTCCTGCTTCTGAAGCTAGAATAGTTCCATTTTTAGCATATGATATATTCTTTTTTTAATTTCCAGTATTTTTTATGGAAAATTATGACAAAGCATAAGAAATAGAAAATTATATAAGGCAAGCATGAACCCAGAGAGCATATAATATATTCTTAGTTAAAGATTTTTTAAGGGAATTCATCAATTATAAGGAACTCAAAAGACAATATTGTATTGGATTTCCTTCTCCCATGATCTGTAAACTATTAAAATTATTATTCTCATATTTATAGATAAAAATACAATTACATATAAGTTTATTTTATCTATAAATTATAAAATTATAGATAAATTCACTTTATCAGATATAAAGTTGTTTTATTCCTTTAGATGCAAAAGCAAACAGATACACATGCACAGTTACCCACAGACATAGTCAGGGATGGCCATGTAATTGTGGAGCTTGATGCAAAATGAAAATGCAAGTATTCTTGTTCAAAAGCAGAGGAAATAACTCTTTTTCCTTTTTCACAGTCTTGATTGACCTGAGAAAGGTGATTTTTATTTGCTGTTTAACGTTTGGTTCCCTAGTATATAGGGATACTTGTGGGAACATGCAAACCCTCACAGGTATCTGTGGCCCTTCCCCATGACTGTGACCCATTTTGCCTTGTGCCAAGACCATCACCGGAAGTGGAGGGGGCAGCAGTTGTCGGGTGGGGGAGCAGGTGGCTAAGGACCTGTACCTGGAAGGCAGAACTAAATGTGAGTCTAGGACATATGCTTCTACTCCATCAGACTTCACTAATATACTCAAATTCAGAGATAAAATTGTTAAAAATTTCAAGACTGTGATAGCAGAGTATTAAAGGCAAACCATGGGGTTTCTTTCTGAGGATGGGACCCTATGTGCCATCACATGCCCCTGAAGCTGGTCCTGTGCATCATAAATACATATCACGTAAGTGGTTTTATGGCTCTCTTCAACTTTGGGTTAAAAACTATTCATACCAAAGGTGAAGTGATGGGAGCATTCTGCCCTGGGTGCAATCATTAAGCAGGTGCATTATATCTAGATATTTATAAACAATAATAAAACCCACTGAAAGTTGGCCTGCTTTTTACTGTCACCATGTTTAGCAGTTCTAAATATTAAGTGATAAAATGTTTTTCTCAAAATTCTTTTGTTTTTCTAAGTTCTAAACAATTACTGTGGTTATAATTGATGTTTAATAATATGTACATATGATTTAAATTGCACATTTTATGATTATACTTTAATAGCCATTATATTCCTTATGCATTTAAATAGCAGATTCAAAATAATGATGACACAAAGACAAAGAACTAGAAATAGAGTCACTTCAATTCTGTTATTTTATGTGGTCACATGGAATTTAAATTTAAAAATTATGACAATGAAACAGTATGAATTTCCATGGGTAATATTTATGTTAAGTAAATGCAGATTTTATGCGTGTGAAGTTCATATGTGAAATGTTTTTTTTTCACTCGTGAAATATTTTATTGAATTTGAGTACTAACTTTGAAATTTGTTTTCTCTTTAAGATTTGTCTATTGCTTTAAAGTTAACAAATTGGAAAATAATGATTATTACTGAAAAGTAATTTTGTCATACAGAGAATAGAGGTGCTTAAATATCCACTGCAAGTATAAAATATGCTATTTCGGTGAGGCACCGAAAATACATATGTATTTTTCTAAGTTTTACTGCTCTTTTTCTTAACAAGGATTTCCTTTGATACTCAGTTTCAAGGTCCATTTGTCAAGTACACAAAACTTATATTACTAATATACTTCTGTTAGATATGTTGGCTTTAAAACAAGGTAAGTTCTGTGTTAGAAGAATGAAGTGGAAAGAAATTTTTTCATTTATAATATGCAAATAATTAAGATCAGAGGTAAGTAGCTTTTTAAAATCATGTCCAGATAATTATCTTAACTCATATATTTTTTTTAAGGGTAGACTCAATTAGGAATTTAAATGTTTTTCAGTTATTTAGTTGATTAGATTGCACTACTCTTCATACTTGATAGAGGCTGTTTTCTTCTTCCTTCCTCCTTCCCCCATGTTTCCTCTTCTCCTCTTCTGGCAAAGGAGAGTAAATACCCCTGAAATACCTCTTGGTCATGGCGCTTCCCCATTTTTAGCTCTTATCCCTGTTGGAATTCCTGTGTTTACTCCTCTGCCATCTCTGCTGGACAGAAGCTCTAAGAGAATGAGGATTATCTCCCTTGCCCTTAAAACAGAGACTTTCAGGTAGCAGGGGCTCAGTAGTTATTATTTGGATACAGGTAAATTGAATTTAGTGCTTGCTTCTTCTCATTTTTTAAATTAAAATGACAATGTGCCTAAAGCAATTAATTTGTATTTATTTTTTATATTAAATGATTGCCATGGAAAAAATATAGGGAGGATTAATGATAAGAACAGAAACATAGAAAAGGAAGAACAAAGGTGAGAAAGCTGTTCTTTGGGTGATCTTAGTATATTTATATATTCCTTTCTCTTAGGATATAATATTAAATACTTGTTGAGGAAGGCATTTTTCTTTTTTTTTAAGGGAAGGAAATAATTATTGTGTGTGGGTAATGTCTGGTGATCTGCCCTAATGTTGGTGTAGAGGTCAGAGCAGGAGGAGCTAAATTTATGCAGTGGTGGTCCACATGATCAGAAATACATTTATATGCACATTATGTTAACATTCTATTGTAAGTACAACCCATTAATAATAAAAAAATATGAATTTGTAATATTATGAGAAAGCACTTCAAAAACAATGTAATAGCTCTTTTTCATATACAAGTGCTGTATTTTAGGTCTAATACTAGTATCTTGACCTAGACAGTGAATATTGGAATTAAACAGCAGCAACCAATCTGGAAAAACTGTGGGGAATATTTTCAGAACACATTCCCAGGTTTATTTTTATTCCCGGTTTATATCACAAATGATGCTTCTTTATACCTTTCATCAGCTTTAATGAAAGGGAATGTACTTTCCTGGTATTAGCTGAACTCAACCTTTCTCAGAATTTGCTCAAAGATTTTAGGATAGCTGTTGTACTTCAGACTTCAACTTCCAGTTTAAGGAATGCTTTGTCTCATTTGGTGGGCCTGGTTTGCTTTTCAGATTAGTTAGGAGCTTTTGTAATTGGGCTGTTGATAGAGTAAATGCTTGATGATTATCGAGACATAATAAAGATAACTGTGAAAACTTAAAGCAAGATTAACACTCATTATAATCTGTGGATGTTTTATGTGAATGTGACTTCAAGGCTTCAAATTTTGTAAGCCTGTTGAGTATAGAGAAGTTCAGCAGTGGGAAATGAATGTAGTTTATGTTTTCTCAGGCTCAGTCCACATGACCAGTTTGAGTCTAGATGACTTTACTTTCTTCTTTTTTTTTTTTTTTAAAGATTTTATTTATTTATTTGAGAAAGAGAGAATGAGAGACAGAGAGCACGAGAGGGTCAGAGGGAGAAGCAGACTCCCCGCTGAGCAGGGAGCCCGATGTAGGACTCAGTCCTGGGACTCCAGGATCATGACCTGAGCCGAAGGCAGTCGCTTAACCAACTAAGCCACCCAGGCGCCCTAGATGACTTTACTTTCTTAAACAGATCAGTAAGTCTTGATCATTTTTTTGACTGAAATTCTGTTTAGTAAGTTCAATGTCTTGTGACATTAGTAAGAAATTAGTAGGAAATGAAACCAGATGGATCCATAACTTATGATAAAACAGACAACCACTTACCACTTTAATGATTATATATATTTGTCCCAATATTTTCCATATATAGATAGTAATAATTATTTTACATCTGTAGGTCAAAAGTCTGACACAAGTCTCACTGGGATAAAAAAGGAAGTGTTAGCAATGCTGCATTCTTTTCTGGAGTCTGTAGGGAGAAATCAATTTCTTTGCCTTTTCCACCTTCTAGAGGCCATCCATATTCCTTGGTTCTTTCTCCATCTTCACAGCCAGCAATGTCACACTTCTCTGCCTCTTTCTGTCCTTGTATCTCTTTCTCTGACCCCAGCCAGGAAATGTTTTCTACTTTTTAGGACTCATGTGATTAGATAGGGCCCACCCACATTATCCAGGATAGTCATGCCATCTCATGGCTCTTAGCCTTATTTACATCTGCAGAGTTCCTTTTGTCATGTAAGGTCCTGGGAATTAGGGTGTGAGCATCTCTGGGAGCCCTATAACATACATTAATACCAGTCTTTCTTAATCTCTTCTGTGGAATCGTCAATACTCCTTGCATTTTGAATTTATTATAGTAGTTAGTATCCCTTACTTACTTTAGGCTTTATGCAGGCAGATCTATTGTTTGTCTATTTTATTTACTATTTTATCTCAAGCCCCAGGCACAATACTTGGCATTAGAAAAAGCTAGATTGTATTTTTGAATGAAAAAATAAAATGAAATTATTGCATATTGTATATGCCATATAATGGAGAGACAGCTTCTCTGACATTAAATGAAATGAGTTCCAAGCATCTCTCAATTTATATGATAGACTGCCTGTTATAAAAGGTCTTATTTTGCAAAGTATAGGTCTTTTCTAAAAATCAGTGTGAATATTCAGAAACATAATTTTCTCATCACAGTCTCTTCATTTGGATGCCCATCCAGATATATTCCAAAACAAGATTTTTACTAATTAAAAAATATACTCCAGAGAATATTCAGAATCAGATAAAGTTTAACTTTTGTTTTTTAAAAATTAGAAGTATATTTTTCTAAGATATTTCTGCTGTTTTTCTTATACCTCCAGGATTGGTTAGACCTAGTCCATCTTCTCTGATGTACAGGGTAAATAAGGAATTCTTCATGTGGTTGGGGCAGAGCAAGGAGGCTCTCTAAAGAAGGAAGGGTTTTAGAGGGAAATCAGTTTTTTTTTTTTTAAATGATAGTCTTTCTGTAATTGGTGAAAACAAAGTTGGAGGTGGGTAGCCATCATACTTTAGTTCTAAGAATCAGTAGACATGAATATTTCTTCAAGAGTGGGTTGAAATCATGTTGATATTGTTAAGTTTGGATGTGTTGCTGGACAAGTCTTCACGTGATGTAGAATCCTTGGTAAACTTAACACTGAGATTGGTACTTTACTCTAGGGGTTATTAGAGACTTTAGTGAATGATAGCTAAAGTAAATGAGTCAGGTCTGGCTGTATGCAGGGAGCAATTTGCATTTCCAGACCTCTACTTGCCCAATATTTTCTTCTTTTGGTGTCTTATGTGAAAGTGCATTATTGGTTCTCATTATATACTTGTTGAGTGAGTAAATAATCAAATGGACTGGCTTTTGTTATTCAGAGCCCTATTTCATTTGTACGTCCTGGGTTTAATGTATTCCCTCTCCTGGGGAATTCTAAAGATTCACTAAGGCCAACAAAGAGATGTTAAGGGGTTTTTCTTCATTAAAAGTCCTCTACCTCTTTTCTGA